AAAACAATTTGCCTCATTGCATGTTCAGCGAAAGAGAGATGCATAAATAATTAAAATGTTCGCATTAGTTTTTCATGCCACTCGCATGTTGTCAGCTCGAATTTCAATAAGCACTCTAATTGTTTTTAAGTGTTTTTCCAGCAGCGACAACAGCAGCCGTGTGCAGCGCAAATGAGCCGTAATTGCATAATTCTAATTTAGCGTCGAGTTCTAAGCACCAAAAACATGTTGACTACAATTTATGCACGTGTGTGAGTTCATGTGAACCGGTGTGGGTGCGTCTCCATCAGTGTGAGTGCTGTGTGAGTGTCGTGTGTGCACTCACTCATTTTACTTAATAACTCACTGCAAGTGCAGGTGCTTTCTGCACAGGAGCTGAAGTCTGGCCAGGAAAATCGAGATGGTTTAAGGTCTGGATGGGTGAATAGGTTAACAGCCGAATTTGAGGGGGAGGTGTGTGTGGTTGAAGGTGTCGGGACGTCGTCGGAAAAGTTGAACGTACTCGCATAAAGCCCAGGTGGCAGGAAGTGGTGCAAAATGTTTCGCAATGAAACTTGATAGTCAAAGATCAGTAGAGGGAAAAGTCAAAAAATTAATATAAGTTTTTGGTCTATGGATATCTAATTTTTTTGTACTATAAATACTTAAAAGATTTGTTAACTAAAACTATTTACTAACTTGCTCTTACTAGATAAATAAAAAAAATTAATTAATTTTTACTTAGTTTTTTGTTTTTTGCTAAAAAAAAAATCCAAGTCTTGTTGTATATTTAGGTAAAAGAAACTATAATAATATAAACTAATTCAACTTAACTGAAATAAATTACAGAACTAAGTTAACTTAAATGTAGCGCTTAAACGGTTAAAAATAAAAAGCCAACTATCAATTACATTTGAATTAAATATTGGCTTTATTTGAATGAGGCTTACCTGGTGTTAACACTTAAATGTCATTTAAAAATATTTGCCTTCGATCGTGTGCAGCCAATGACGCATGTTTTGTGAACCGACCTTGGTGAAATTATCGGATTTCAGTCTCAGCAGCTTAAGTGCGACAATTCCAACTTGATTTCTGTGTCACCTGGGCCGCAAAAAGCATGAAATTCAAGTGGACATAAATGCACATACACACACTCAAAGAGGTGTGCTGTTTTGCGGGTGAGTGTGCATTTAAATCCTTATTGCGACACCTGCACAAAGCAAATACCAATTAAAGGCTTTACACAGGCGGTACCGTGCCAACTTTTGCATGGGTTGCGTGGGCGGTGGGGTTTCGGTAAGAAATTTGTGTGTGGGAAAGGGGACCGCACTTGTATGCCATTAAGTTGCCAACCCCTACTCAGCTACTCTCTTTGTTGCACTCAGAAAAAAAATATAAGTGCTTTCAATTGTCTTATTAATCGTATAAAATTATTTTATGGACTCAAAACATCTTAAAAATGTTTAGTCTAAATAAATTTAGAATTGTCGTAATTCTTTTAAAATAGATGCCCCAACTTAAAGGGCAACATTATTTTATAGCTAATATCATAAGCAAACGATATATTCGGTTTTTTAAACAATTTTTGCAAATTGATGCTTTGATTTTAAAAAATACAAAGTTTTAAGTTAAAACTTTTAACAATTAATTGGCATTACTTTAATCGCAAAATTGATTGATTTTAAATAATAGAATATAGATTGAGAAAATAAGAAGGAGTGTTTAAAAAAAAAATGTTACAGTCATTAAAATACTAAAAAAAAAAATTTTAAAGTTCCTGGGTTGATTTCTGTCAGTGGAGCCACTTGAAAGCGGACAACAAACAAATTTACCCAACGAGTAGCTGACCGTGTCGTGTTTGGTCATGACCAATTTATTTGGCCCAGTCAGTGCGCCACGAAGACCCAGAGTTCGGAGATCGGCTTATAGAACTTCTCCTGGCAGGATGATAATGGCTGGAACCATAAAGGCGGAGAAGAAAAGCAATGGCTTCATAGTCCTCATTAAGGATTACTGCTCCAATTGCTCACTGGCCGGATTCGCCTACATGGCCAATTCCAGGTGGGTTTTAAATTTAAATTTTATCTTTCTTGGGTCGCTGAAATCTAAATACTTCCCCCTTCCGAGTCCGTAGGTTACATTTCTCGGAACGCATCTTTTGGCTGATTTGCGTGATCGTTTCAACACTGGGCTGCTACAATCTGATCAGGGCATATCAGCAGAGCTTTCCTACAAGAGCCGTCAGCATTGTGTACGAGAGTCTGCCGCCCTTTTCCAAATGGCGCTTTCCCTCTGTCAGCGTCTGTGAAGTGGCCCACAAGGGTAAATTGTTCCACACAATGGAGGATTATGTAGAAAGGTGCTGTTAATAGACGTCTTAAAGTCTCGTAATGAAAGAACGGGGTTTTTCAGTTTGGGTTTAGATGTGGCCGGCGGATATCCATTCGAAGTGGAGTCCGGAATAGCGTGCATTCTGTTTCCTGTACTATACAATGAAAACAATTTGAAGGGCAAATGTGCGGTAACCAACGTTAGTTGCTCAGGGCCATGTGCAGAGTGTCCTGCGACCGGCTATCGTCGAATACTCAACTGGGTGAGTTTTGCGGGGGTTGAATAAGAGTATACAAAATGGAAAAGAGTGTGTGAGTGGCAAAGAAACAAGAAAATAAGTAAGTACAATTAAGTGCTCGTAAGGGTGTCTAAAAATAAAATATATTGTTGCATACTTTTCGGCACCTTTGTACGTGATTTTAAAATTCTATAGTAAATATGCTCAATCCGTAGGCTTAATTGTTTTAATTGTTTGTTTTCCTATCCTATACTAACTTGATCAGTATGGAGCCAACTGTACGGACTTGTTCGTCGAGTGCAAGTTGTCCGGACAGAAGTTCGACTGTTGCCGGTATTTTCGCCCCCTGCTGACCCCCTTTGGCCGCTGCTACATGCTCAATTCGCTGCTAAACAATGAGCCTGGTTCGAAGTACTGGCTGCCCCACGACTTGGATCCCGCCGATCGGAAGGCTGTGATAAATGTGGTCACACAAATGGAAATTCAAGTGTTCGTGATGAATGCTGAGGACATTCCGCACACGGCCTTCGCTCCGCCCGGACTACTGGCCATAACTGCGGGACTGGGAAAGTATATGCAATTCAACCAGGTGGTCATGGAAAACGATCCGGATGTCAGGGAGGTCGACTCCAAGATTCGCAGCTGCCTCTTCCCCGATGAGAATCCAAAAACCAGCCTATACAAAGCCTATAGCTTCAGCGTCTGCATCACGGAATGCATTCGGGAGATGCAGATGAAGCTGTGCAACTGCACGGCAATCATGTACAATCCAAATGCCGATAAACGCTATCCGGACTGCGATCTCAAAGGCTACCACTGTTTGGAGAAGATGCGAGCGATCAAGCCGGATTCCAGGGTATTATTGAGCAACAATAAGAAAAACAACGAAAGTTGCGGGTGCCTGCCGTCCTGCAATGATGGCGATATCTCTGCCATTTACGAACCCACTACAATGTGAGTACCCTTTTTCCAAGTACTTTAGTTTTTTAAGATTTTTAAAATAATTTTCTTCGACAGTGTTCGAACCGGAAACAAGTACTTCAACGCCACACTAGACATGCCCTTCCTGCCGACGGATCGGTATCGACGACAGGCTATTCGTACGCGTCTGGATGTCGTGGTCTCCATGGGCGGAATGCTGGGACTTTTCCTGGGGGCCAGCATCCTCAGTGCCATCGAGTTCATCTACTACTTCACAATGCGACCCCTAAACAATATGCTCCACTCACGCTCCGCCACTACAAAAAGTCACTAAAATTAAATGCCGGAATATTAGGAGAACATTAAAAATAAATATAAATACTTTTTTAACAGAAAATTCTGTTATTGCTGAAAATATTATCATGGTCCTAAAATTCTTAAAATTAAAAATTTCGAAGATTGATTCATCTAAACTTATTTTTATACTTTAAAATGCTTATTTTTCAAATTAACAGTCCAACCTTAAAGTACCTCTTTCAAAGCATTGTAAGCTCTTCAAAAGCTTATTCAACACCTAATAGATTCTTTGCCAACACAAGTAAAGGTCGTCATTAAGAATTATTTAATAACTTAAATAACAGATACGCTTACATTTTATTCTTACCCAATAAAACATTTACAAATAAAACAGAGTGTTTAAATTAAATATGAATTAAAGAAGATTTACCAGAACACAACTGATCGAGTTTTAGTTTTAACAGCTTGAGTGTGACTATTGAGTCCTCTGTCACCTGTGCTGCAAAGTGCACGAGTTTCATTTGGACTTACCTGCTATACAAACACTTTCATAGAATTGTTATGTGCTGTTTTGTGGGTAAGTGCACATTTAAATCCTTATCGCGACACCTGAATTAATTAAAGGCATTTGGATGGGTTGCGTGGGATGTAGGATTTTTGGTAAGAAATTTTTGTGTGGAAACGGGAGTCGCATTTGTATGCCATTAGGTTGCAACGTTCCCCAAACTCAGTTATTATCATTTGTTACACTGAGAATCAAAAGACTCGTGGTTTAAATTACCTTATTAATCGAAAAAACTATTTTTTCAAGATCTCTAGAAATTAATTTTTTTCTATTCGAAATGGCGATTAAGGATTAACAACCAAAAATGATTTTTCGGCATAATTATGTTAGAATTAGTGTCCCATTCTAATGACCGACTGATTTCTAGTCCATTACCATATATTGGTATTTTTTTTAAATTATCCAAATATGACAAATTTTGTGTTAGTTGTTTTTCTGAGTATTTGTCCTCTATAAAGCTAAATAAAGCAGAAGTGTATTTTAAAAATTGTAGAAGTGTAAGTATTAAACATTTGTTAATTTGTTTTCTCTCACTGTAGTCTCATCCACTTAAAAGCGCACTACAAAAAAATTTACTCGATTAGTCAAACAATTTATTTGACCCAGTCAGTTTGCAACGGAGGCCCAGAGTTCAGATATCGGCTTAAATTACTTATCCGGGGAGCTGATATGACTATAGGAAACGAAAACAGAAGCAACGGCTTTGTAGCCCACTTGAAGGATTACTGTTCCAATTGCTCACTGGCCGGATTCGCCTACATGGCAAATTCCAGGTGGGTTTTCAAGAAGGCTCAAACCAAAACTAACTACTTCCCTGTAGGTTACATTTTTCGGAGCGCATATTTTGGATGATTTGTGTGATCGTTTCAACACTGGGCTGCTACCATTTGATCATGGCTTATCAGCGAATTTTTCCTTCAAGAGCCGTCAGCATTGTGTACGAGAGTCAGCCGCCGTTTTCCAAATGGCGATTTCCCTCTATCAGCGTCTGCGAAGTCGCCCATAAGGCTAAATTATTTCAAACAATGGAGCAATATGTAGAGAGGTACGGTTAACGGTCTCAAAATCTAATAGCACCAGTTAACAAAATAAAATAGTCAAAATGGTAAACGCAGGTAAAGTGGAGTTCTTTAAAAATAAAATAGGCCCGAAACCGAAAAAAATTTGAAGTGCCCTTTATTTAGGGAGCTCAACTTTACCGGAAACCAATTTTATTTTGTAAACTGCTTTAATAAGTCATTACATTTTCTTTTCAGTTTGGGCTTTGATGACGCCGGCGGATATCCCTTCGAAGTAGAATCCGTCATTGCGTGCATTTTATTTCCTGTATCACTCACGGAGGACAATATGAAGACCAAATGTGAGTCAATCGAGACGAATTGCCCAGAAGCGTGTGCAAAATGTCCTTCAGATGGTTATCGCCAAATACTCAACAATGTGAGTAGTTTGTAATTGTGTACAATTTATAACATCGATATCAATGAGACTGTAGCAAAAATTACGTATAAGGGTGTCTAAAAGTATTCAGAGAAATAAAAAAACATATTTATTAGGAATTTAGACACCTTTGTAGGTGAACTTTAAAATTTTAGCGTTACGTGTGTTCCCATAGTTGTTTCTAACATCAATTATACTAATCTTATCAGTATGGAGCCAACTGCTCGGACTTGTTCGTCGAGTGCAAGTTATCCGGAAAGAAGTTCGACTGTTGCCAGTACTTTCGCCCCCTACTTACCCCCTTTGGGCGCTGCTTCATGCTCAATTCGCTTCTAAACAATGAGCCTGGGTCAAAGCACTGGCTGCCCAACGTACTGGATCCCGCCGATCAGAAGGCCGTCATAAATGTGGTCACAAAAATGGAAATTCAAGTGTTCGTGATAAATGCGGAGGACATCCCGCACACGGCCTTCTCTCCGCCCGGACTTGTAGCCATAACTCCGGGACTGGGAAAGTATATGCAATTCAACCAGGTGGTCATGGAAAACGATCCGGATGTCAGGGAGGTCGACTCCAAGATTCGCAACTGCCTCTTCCCCGATGAAAACCCCAAAACTAGCCTATACAAAGCCTATAGCTTCAGCGTCTGCATCACGGAATGCATTCGGGAGATGCAGATGAAGCTGTGCAACTGCACGGCAATCATGTACAATCCAAATGCCGATAAACGCTATCCGGACTGCGATCTCAAAGGCTACCACTGTTTGGAGAAGATGCGAGCGATCAAGCCGGATTCCAGGGTATTATTGAGCAACAATAAGAAAAACAACGAAAGTTGCGGGTGTCTGCCGTCCTGCAATGATGGCGATATCTCTGCCATTTACGAACCCACTACAATGTAAGTACCCTTTTTACAAGTACTTTAGTTATTTAAGATTTTTAAAATAATTTTCATCGACAGTGTTCGAACCGGAAACAAGTACTTCAACGCCACACTAGACATGCCCTTCCTGCCGACAGATCGGTACCGACGACAGGCTATTCGTACGCGTCTGGATGTCGTGGTCTCCATGGGCGGAATGCTGGGACTTTTCCTGGGGGCCAGCATCCTCAGTGCCATCGAGTTCGTCTACTATTTCACAATGCGACCCCTTAACAATTGGCTGCGCTCACGCTCGGCCACAGGAAAAACTTTCCGAGGAAAGATTCCGGGATATGAGAATAGAAATAAATAAATATTTAACAGGAAATACTGTTAATTGCAGAAGGTTTTACATTAAAATTTGCTTTGCTAAAATATAAAATGCTCACCATACAAAATAACGTAATCCTTTATATATACAAACACAGTCCTTTTAATATTGCAACAATTAATATGACAGTTTTTTATATTACAATTATTTAAATAATAAATTATAATAATCAAAATAAGGCGCTTTTAAATGTTAACAAGGGAATCCTATATAGAAGTGCATTCGCGAAGTTTAGCAGAGAAAAGTCACCCAGTTGGAGGTGCCTTGACCTCCGTCACCAGCGGCGTATGCGCAATTTAAAAATTTTATTAAATATTTGCTCGGCCCGGTCACTGCAATGCGCATTAAAAATGCAACCATGGCATGCCGTCAGGATGCCAAGGATATTCTTCGTACCGAAAAGCGATGCGAGCCAAGTGTGAAGCTGAAAATCAATGAAACTCACAATTTGCACAGTCAGCAAACGCCTCTTGGCGACAACTGCAACCATTTTACACAGATATATATGGAGTCGAATGTATATACCTACATATGGGCACTTCCAAAATGTCGCTCGGGACATTTGCACAACTTTAAAGTTGAAAAAAAATTGTAAAACAATGGATTTTAATTTTAATTATGGGCTTTTCTTTTCACTCTTCCCAAGCTCTATTTTTGGTAAAAATCTTAATTTTGTTCCACTTTTAGTTTTTAAGATATCGGTAAAAAACTGCCGTATTCGCTCGGGACAAAAATAGAAGTGGATTTCGGGGAAGTTCATACAACACCAGAAATTAGCAAATTCTGATGGAATATTTGAATGCGTTTTTTTAGAATGTTGTTCAAACATGTCGCTGTGAAATGCTTTTGGTTTTACTCAAAAATTCTTTGCCGTTTTTTTTTAATGCAGTTTCAACCACATTCGCTCGGGACATGTCGCTCGGGACATTTTTTCCGACTGTTTTGTAAAGCGGATTTCTTTACCTCTATCTCTCAATTGCTGGATGTTTTGCTTTTAACTTAATAGTTTAGCATGTGAATGAAGCATTCAGTACAGAAAAATGTCACATATTAGCATTCCTATAGGATAAATTTACAACAGAAGACAGGTCCAAAAAATAACTAACAAAAAAATAGCCAAAAACTTATTTTTGCGTATATTGGTGGGGTTTGTCATAAAAATAATCAAACTATACTCCAAATTTGTAGTTAAGCTCAGTATCCAACTAATTAGAAACTAATATCGGGGCAAAATCATGTGGAAATATGTTTTATTCAAGTTTCAAGGTTTTTGGCTTGGTGGACTTTTTTTTGGAAGTGCCCATATATCTTTTTGGATTTTGGCCACCTCTCAAGCTTGTTAAGGTTTCCGTTCGCCCGGGCCATGTTGCTTAGTTTTAAATATTTAAAATGACACAACAATAGAAAAGTGTGCTAAAAGCAAACGAGAGAAATGTAATCACATTAATTCTCTGCCACAGGGCCTTCCTTTGCCTTTTGCCCTTTTCGGGGCATTGTTGCTTTTGGTCACCTCGACAAAGGTTAATTAATTATGCTCTACACCAATTAAAGAGACACGAAATGGGCCTAAGCTTTTAGCGGCTGCAAAATTCGAGTGTAATGGTCTCAAAAAGGAATGTGGCACACTCTCAGAAGTGGGTCGTTGGGAATATTTGAAAAGCTCATTTCAAACTAATTAAATATTAATTAGGGCAAACTAAAAGCAGGCACTAATAAAAATATATTAACTAATGATAGACAGGCTAATAAAAATAGCTATAAATATTTTAGAATGTTTTAAAACATAATTTAATTAAAATTTAATTTAATCAAAGTAGTACATTCCATTTTATCTTAAATCACAAAAGCGAAATACACTTTTTATTCAAGCTAAAGTATACTAAATGATGAAGTGCCCTTTATTATCAGGGACCGAAAATAACTGTTATTGTAAATTTTTCATACCAAAAAAATCATGCACTTAGAAGAGTCCTAAAATTTTTTTAAATACACCACTATTTTTGTTAGCCATTGTAGTTTACAAATCCGTAATGATTTTTATTTATTTGATTTTTATAATAAAACTCAAAAAATAACAGTTATTTGTTGATTTTTATAAATAACAGTTATTTCTGAAAAAATGAAATAACTTAAAAAAATGCTAACCGTGTTTTATAAACTTACTAAAAATCTTAAAAAAAGCCAACCGCGCATATTGTATAACTATATTTTTTTAAATTTATTTTACCCACAAAATCGCCATAAATCAAGTTTGAGTTTTATTTTTGATCTGACGAATAACTGTTATTTGTAGACTTTTATTATAAAACTCAAAAAATAACAGTTATTCTTTGAGTTTTACTTTACAAATCAGAAAATAACTGTTAAAATTTGATTTTTAAAATAAAACTCATAACAGTTACGGTCCCTGTTTATTATGTAATTTTAGATTTTAATCAAAATGGAAACTAAATTGAAATGTCAAACTACTGAGTTATAAAAATATTTAATACCTTAAAGGGCATTAAAGGACTCCATAAAACTTGGCCCAACGACTTTTTCTACTCAAAAGAACAGCCAAGGAAACGGAATAAAAATCTCTGACCGCCACTTGCCGCAAACTCATAAATAATACGCTCGCCTTTTCATGCATACATATATTTTTATATATATATTTCTTTTTTCCTCTCTGACTTTCTTTGAGCATTCCTTTCCATTTCATTTCATTCGCCGCCGGGACTTTGCCTTTTACTTTAACACATTCATGTGCATTTGTATTTGGTTTATGATGGGAAATCCCCCTCGCTCACTCAAAGGTTTTCCTCCCCCCCGAACAAAGAGGTCAAACGAATTGCAGTGAAAGTGTAGCAACAATGTTAACCGTATCTGTCCAGAAAAACTCTGCCAGGACATTGTTACTGGTGACTATCATTTATCAAGCTCAGCGAAAAAAAGGGGGAAAAATGACGAAAAGGAGGAAAAAAACGTAAAAAACAGAAATAAGGAAACGAGAACATTTTTGTCATGTTAAACTGTCAGAGTGCGCATTTAGTCATTACTTACATTTTCTGCTTTTCCGCTCGCACTTTTCCTTGTCTGTCAGTCGCTCGCATGGAAATGCAGCACACACCCACATACCAGTATGTACATACCTCATGTATGTGTCACACACTTGGGCGAAATGTAATTAAAACTTGCCATGCAAGTCTGCGGTTGAGCTTGGCCATTAGCATAACGCTGAAAAGTATGCTACGTTTTATGTATAATTTAAACGAAACACCGCATCGTCATTTATCAAAAGCGGCTCCTCGCAAAATGTTAATTATTATGTTTTATTGCCTCCGAAAGTCACTGGCCGCTCTGTCCTTTGTGTGATTTTATTTCTGCGTTGGCCCGTGATTTAGCCGGACAGTTTGAAATATGCTGCCGGCATGTGGTCGCTCGAGCGGGCCAAAAAATACCAGGATTGCACCGGGCAAACTTAAATCATTCGCCGGCTGACAGGCGGCCACACCATACTCACCCCTATATGCATGCCACATAAATACATATAATTGTATAATGCTTTCCGGTCATTGATTTAAGCGGCGCCAAAAGAAGCGGCAGAGGCAGAAGCAGCCTCGTGTCCTGAACAAGTTCGGAATAATTAAAATTCAAATAACTTCATTAAAATTTAATTCGAGTGCCAGGGAATTGCCAGTAAGTGGGCAGGCTCTTGGCTGCATTTCAATTGCGAATTGCAATTGCGAATTGCCAATGGGAAGCGCTAAAATAAGCAATTGCCATTGCGAACAGCGCAGAACTTCGCCACCTGAGCAAAAGAAATCGTCGAAAGGCGAATGGCGAAAGGAAAACTGAAGTGAAGTTTTCCTTCTCTCCAGGTAGCACAGGAAATGGTAACTATTTTTCAATTACCTTTTTCGCACGCACGTTTGCTTAGCATTCGGTTCCTTTGAGCAGGATATTTTCCAGCGAGAACGGCAACGCTAAGACATCCTGGGAAATGCTCTAACTATTTGGTATACTGTATTCATGAAGATCCCTCTGATATACTTTGTGTTGATTTTAAAATATATATTTTGGGCTCATAAAATGAACAAATTTTGAACCAAAAGAAGGCTCAAAATCAATTTAAATTAACAGCACTTTAAATCGAATAGAGAATATCAATTTCGTCTAAATAAACATCATTCAATTGTTATGCCAGCTCTTCATTTTCGTATTTATTTTCTATCGCTTTTTTGTGTGGGCCATCTGAATGCATAGATGCACAGGAAGAAATATTTTATATAATAAAGTATAGTAATATTTGATGTTATTATTTGATAAACAATAATATGAATTATGGTTTAATAATGTTATTTTAATTTTAATATTTTACCTATCTTTAATATGGATTTTTATACCCTTTGAGGGGATAAAAATTTAAAAGTTTAACGGAAAGAAACCCAAAAAAAAAAAAAAAAATAAAAAAAACAAAAACCCAAAACCAAAACCAACCCCCCCCCCCCCCCCCCCCCTCCCCCCCCCCTTTTTTTCAAAAAAACCCCTCTTTTTTAAAAAAACAAAAAAAAAAAAACCCCCCCAAAATTTTTTTTTTAAAAAAAAAAAAAAAAAAGGGCCCCCCCCGCCGAAACCAAAAAAACAAAAAAAAAAAAAAAAAAAAAAAAAAAAAAAATTTAAAAAAAAAAAAAAAAAATTTTTTTTATTAAAAAAAAAAAAAAAAAAAAAAAAAAAAAAAAAAAAAAAAAAAAAAAAAAAAAAAAAAAAAAAATTAATTTTTTTTTTTTTTAAAAAAAAAAAAAAAGAAGGGGGGGGGGGGTTTTTTGTTGTTAAATAAATTCTAACAGAAATCCCCCGTTTTTTCCAGTGCCCACATGGACATGGTTCGGTGTGTTAAGTGTTTGTAGTTAGTAGTTTTTCAATCAGCATGGCACGCCCACACATCCACAATAACGGAAACGCCCCAGCAAGCCGGCTCGGTGTTAACAATTGCCTTCTCT